AGCTGGCCCAGGAAAAGAACCGACGACTGTAAAAAGATTCAGATGTTTCGGAAAGTTGACCAGATCCCCCAAACCCTCTTAAGGTTTTTGAAGGGGTGGGAAGGAGACTGATCCCCCCGACCCGATTCTCTCTTTTCTTCCCTCCTTCTCCCTCTCCTCCTCTCTCCCTACTCTCTCCTTCCACCCGCCGCTGTTCCTCCCTTTCCTCTCTTAAGGAGATGCCGCTAACTCCCTCACCGCTGGCAGGGGATTCAACCCGGAGGAGCCCGAAGGCCTTTTCGATTCTAGGCGGGGCTAGGGAGGTGTCTGGACTCCCAGGACTCCGCTCCCCAGGCTAGGCGGAGAATTGGTGGTCCAAGTTTTGGCCTAGGGGAGGGATGCACGCAAAATTTTAGTGACAGATTAAAAAATACAAAAAACAAACCCCAAAAGACCTAACAGATTTTTACATTCATAGTCAGGTGGGCAGCTAGCCTCCTAGTGCAGGCAAGTCATTTGGACACTTCCGTGCGAATTCGGCAGCACAGCTGCGGGCCTTCCCACTGGTGCCTTTTTCGTCTGCTTCCAACGTCTTTCCCCTGTTCTCCGTTCTTCCATGAAATTAACACACACGAGGCAGTCATCCTGTGCATGGCCACTTTCACGTCTTGTTAACCATTTCTCTCCCCTGTAAGGGCACTGGGTAGGGTGTGGAGGGGGCTGTTTTCACTCAAAATCTAGAGAATCGCAGGCTGGGCCAGTTTTCTAAGCTTTAGAGCGCTGTCCATCTCCCCTCCTCCCGGAAAGGATCCGCGTTTGCCTCACGTAGGTCTGTGCCCAGCTGAGGGGATTTTTCTGGCTGACACCTTTGGGGGGAGGAGTTGGGAGACCCACTGTCTGTGCCCCATCATGGGGGTGTCACCTGTGGTAGTGAGGCAATCTCTAATCTATAGCCCTCACTGTCCCCCGATTGTAAAACAAATGGCTTGGATTTGACAGGCTGTGGTTTCCCTCACCAACATGTGCCTCAAGGTCCTGGGACTCTCCACAGCAAGGGAAAAGCACATTTATGGCGTGTCGAGTCCCTTCCACAGGCTAATCATCAATTGCACCGCACAACAACCGTGAGTGTTGGAAATCAAGGTCCCCAATTTTCTGATGAGCAAACCGAGGCTCAGAGAGGTGCAGTCACCTGGCTGAGGTCACATGGCTGGGAAGTAGCAGTGCCCGCCTTGAAACTCACGCTGAGACTAGTCTCTCCGCCTATCTGGGATGGCGTTGCCAAGAACGAAAATGCGAAGAATAGAGGAAATAGATCTCTGACTACGAAATAACTCAGTTTGAAGGAGACCAGTAGGCACAGCCCTCGATAAACTGCAGGGAAAAATCCGTGGATGGAGAACATACCTAAGGGAGGCTGGGAGTGGGGTGAAAGGTGAAGGGGCAGAGTGAAATGAGCAAGAGGTTGAGTGCCCTGAACCCGGGAATGTGGGTCAGAAGTCAATCTTCTGCACCTAAAAGTTCTCCCTAAGAAAAATATCTGGGGGTGGGGGGAGTCATGTATCTACCCTCAATCTCATCCCAGCTAATCCTCACCCCCACCCCATTCACTTGGTATCTCTGCTCCTTGCTCTGCCGCCAACTGTGCGATCCCACATCTGGTTTCCATCGCGGCTTACCTTGAAGTGCTCGTTAATAAAGATATTCTGCAAACCGCGGCCAGGGGTGCATAAGCCTGAACCCCTCCCCCGCTGCCCATTGGACCCACACCTCTCTGGCCCACAGACCTAAGCCACATGAGAATTTTATATTTACTGAGTACCTGTTGTGCCAGAAGCCATCCACAGGTCATCCCCCTGGCCACTCCAACAATCCGGTGACATTGACCTTGCCATACCTATTTTCCAGATGGGTAGACTGAAACTCAAAGAAACCAAATAATTTTCCTACCTCTGATAGCCAAAAGTGAGTGAGCCTGCTATCACCCCAAATGCTCCTGAAGCCCAAGTTTATTTCAGTTCTTAGAATCTGCCAAGTTCTGGAATTCCCCAATTTCATCCCTGCACTTTTGTCAGGCTAATAATTTGAGGTTCAGCGTAGAGTCTCTTCCTCCAGAAAGCCTTCCATCTCTCCAAGTCTGGATTAATGCTCCTATTTGCCACATCTCCATCCTGGATTTCATGGTCATCTGGTTGCCAGTTCAGTGTTCATTTCCACCTCACTATTCCAAGGTTGCAGGAGGGCAGCCTCTGTGGGAGGCCCCACAAATATTTATGGAATAAAATATTAAAGCCTGGGTTCCTTCCACTACTCAGCGAGGCAGTTCCCAGTGTCTTTGGTTTCCTCTAGCTGAAGACAACCAGTTGCTCTTCATGAATCAAGCGACAAAATTAAGAGTGAGGCAGCCTCTCCTGGGCTGCAGAAGAACAGTGAGTTCTCTCAGAGTAGGGGCCAGACCTGCCTTGTTCATTGCAGGGCTTGGCACATCCTAGGTGCTCGTAAAATGTGCACTGAATGAATGAATGAATGAATGAATGAATGAATGAAAATGCAGCGTGGTCTGGGGTCTTAGAGGTGCATTTTTGCTAAGGAGTTCTAAGGAAGCAGGCTACTCTGGTCCCTGAATCTGCCTGCTAGCATCCAGATGGTGTCAGCAAGCCCTCCCCTTCACCCCCAACCCTCCAATTCCAGATCTAGACACAAAGGGAAAACTAAAGAAGTGAAATACATGGAGGGAGAGGGAGGAACAACTCTTAAGACAGGTAGGATGGCAATTACAATATTCTCCAGAAACGTCTGCACTGCTCCACACTCTCAATGCAAAAACAAAAACAAAAACAAAAAAACAATGCCACTGCATTCTGGAAAGCTTTCTTTGAGTGCTGTCTCTAGCCTCCTACCCACCCCACACTTTTATTACCTGCTTAATTACTGCCTCATTATTCAACCTTTTCCTGGCCACTCCCTTGGAAATTTCAAACCCAGAGCCCTTGACAGCATTTGGCGTCCTCAGCCAGAATCCCTCCTGGTGAGCTGAGGTCCTGGTCCTTGGAACCTGTGGGAGGGCCTTCTACCTTCCTATGTTGTACCTTAGAGAGGAACTCAGAAAGTGAGAGTGTGCCTGCAAGTGAGGCAGTGCGTGTGGATTTGCCTGTGACCGCATGAGAACATTCTGGGCCAATTATTTCCTCAAGAAAACCACCACAGACCCTCTCTCCTAAGTCCCTTCAAACGCGTCTTTCCCTGGAGAATGCTAAGTACAGCTGGTTATTTCTGCGTGTGTTCCATGATTTGCTGGTCCATGGGCCCATCCATCCATCCCTCCCTCCTCCATAGCTGATAGCACAGCCACTCCCACCCAGTTCCTCCACAAAGGTGCAGGGCACCCTTCCAGCCAGAAGCTACACTGAGGATCCTGAAGCTCAGCCTGGTCTCAGCCTTTGCTCTCCTGGTGCATTACTTCTCTCTTAACCGAGGCTCCCCCTGGCTCACTGTCTCTCCACCTTTGACCTGCCTGGTGAAACCTCTGCACTTCCGATCACTTCACTGTACCAGGAATGGTAGGGGCAGTGGCCCCTCTGCTTCAAGTCCTGTACCCTCACAGCCTGGCAGGCACACCCCTGGCTGCCCTCTTCTCTCTCCCTTTCATCTTGTCTCGCTCAGCCCTCCTGGAAGCAGTTCCCCCACTTCTGTGGGCTTCATACACAGCCTGGGAAGGGGAAGTGGTGACAAAAAGTCTTTCTATGTCAAGGCTAAGTGTCACCTCCTCTGGGAGGCCTTCCTTCACCACCCTAGCTACTGCTTTGTAACATCTGCCTGTTTATTTCCTCCATAGCCTCTACCTGACCTGACAGTTTCTGCCGTGTTAGTTTTATTGTCTGTTTTCCTACTAGAATGCGAGTCCATGGTTACTCTCTCCCCAGTAGGAAATCCAGTGCTTGGCATATAGCACCACTTGGTAAATATCTTCTGAGTGAATGACGAAATGAGTGAGTGAACCAATAAGTTGAATGAATATTGGAGGAGCATTGCCCCAGGTTTGGAGAGTAACTGGCCAGTCCCTGTGGCTCAGGGCTGGAGCTCCCGAGGTCAGGAGTGTGGGATTGAGTTGGTTAGAAGGTCCTTGATGGGGGGTGGTGGGGAGGGAACAGCAGATACTCCTTTCTTTCAAAGGGAAGGACAGATCCGGAGCCACCCTCCTAGATCTGAGCTCCTCCACCCCATCCTTCATTGCTTTGTACAAACAGTGGAGCTGGGGAGAGGCAGCCCACCAGCTTATATGCTCTGAGATCTCCCCTGACTGCCCCAAGTCTTGACTACCAGTGTGAATAAAACGGGGACTTTATCCCCCTCAGTGAGTGGTGTACACTACTTGGCTTGCCACTCTGTAAATGCCAGGTGGCAACAGAAACTGTTCAGAAGTTTGGGACTGCTGAAAGAACATTTTGGACACCTGTAGAGAGGGCAGGAAGAGTCAAGATATGATGCTGGAAAGCCAGAGATCTTATAAACCTTGAGTAGAAACTCAGTACACAAACCTCACACTCTTGACACAACACAAATTAGCAATCACGTTTTCGACAATGGTTACAAGTCAGCTCCTGCACACTAGATCTTTGCAGTCCTCACAATGGCTCTATGGTGGTACTATTATCCTCATTTTACAATGACTTAAAAAAAATCGAAGCACAGAGAAGTGAAGCAATTGCTTATGGTCACACAGCAAAGCAGAGGGCCTGGGATTCTAACTCAGGTGATCTGACCTCAGAACCCACGCTCCTAATCACGGAGCTTTCCCAAAGATCTCCCGGGACCTGCGGGTAGAAAGATTCCCGATTCCTCTTGGCCGGCAGGGCGCTTAGAGAAGCTCCCACTTCTCCAGTGCCCCGGCCGCACAAGCTGACCCATCGTGCCCTCCTCTGGGCAGGTGACGA